TATCAAGCCCCTCCATTCCTCTCTATCCTGCGCTGCTCTCTTCCAGTTCCTTACACCCATGAACTTCTTCGCATCTTCTTCCACTGCATCAATCCATCTAGTTCTTGGTTTCCCAGCATGTCTCCTACCACCTATTTGTACTATATAACATTTTCTTCGGGATACGCTCCTTATCCATTCTCTGTACATGCCCAGCCCATTGCAATCTTTAAGCTTTATCGTCACTGAGATCTCTGACTTCTTATATAATTTGTATAATTCTTTATTATATCTTATTCTCCATATCCCATTCTCTTTTATTGGTCCAAAAATCCGTCTCAGGATTTTCCTCTCAAAATAATTGATGACTGATTCCTCTTTCTTGTTTAGCGTCCAACCCTCAAATCCATATAAAGCACCGGTCTTATCATTGTTTTATATATTTCTGTTTTAATCGCTTAGTGTATATCCTTTGATCTAAAAACTGATAGTAACGAGAAATATGCATTATTCGCTAGTCTTACTCTTCTTGTTATTTCATGATATTCCTCTCCATCTTCGTGGAATTTTGATCCTAAATATATGAAGTCTTCAGCTATTTCTATCCCACCCCCTTCCATGTTAATTTCTCCAGTTTGCCTTGGATTCCTTCTGGAGTGTATCAGCATTTTAGTTCTATTTACATTCACCTCTAAGCCAGTTGTTTTTGCTATGGTTTTCATTTATTTATATGTCTCCTTCATTGCTCTTAGGGATCTCAGTACTATAATAATATCATCTGCATACGCCATTATTTGCGTTTGTTTATACGCTACTGTGTTCCTTGTGTCTACATTACATTTCCTCACTATATATTCCAATAGCAAGTTAAATAGTGATGGTGCCAATCTATAACCCTGTTTTAATTCTTGATTTGTCTTAAAGCATTCTGTTAACTGGTTTTGGATTTTAACTTGATTGATTGTTTCTGTCATGGTTAAGTTAATTATTCTACTTAGTTTTGCTGAAATACCAAAAGTGGACATAATCATCCTTACTTTCTTCCTTATTATGGTATCATATGCTTGTTTAAAATCTATGAAGCATAGGTAAATATCCGTATTAAATTGGGAAGGTCCACGAAAACCAGGCAGGACATCACTTGCTAGCATACGCTGATTATGTGATTCTGCTGGGTGATAACATAGATACATCACAGAGAAACAAAGAAGCTTTAACTGATACTACTAAGGAGATTGCTCTAGAAGTAAAGGCAGAGAAAACTAAGTATATGTTGCCGTCTTTGTCACCAGAATGCAGGGAAAAATCCTGATAGAAAATTGGGCTACAGATGTTTTGAAAATGTGGGGAAGAATTGTAACAAATCAAATCCTGATTCAAGAGAAAGTTATGAGGAGACTGAAATCGGGTAATGCTTGCTGCCATTCAGTTCAGAACCTTTTGTCTTCCGTCTGCTGTCTAAAGGCATAAAATTTAGGATATACAGAAATATAATTTTGCCTGTGGTTCTGTCTGTGTGAAACTTGGTCTCTGTCATAAGGGAGGAACAGAGGCTGTGTGTGTTGAGGATAATATTTGGACTGAAGAGAGATGAAGTGACAGGAGGTTGGAGAGAACTGCATAATGGGGAGCTTCATAACTTGTCCTCTTCTCCAAGTATAATTAGAACGATCAAATCAAGGAGGATGAGATGGGAAGGGCATGTAGCACGAATGGGGGAGAAGAGGAATGCTTGTAGGTTATTGGTGGGAAAGCCAGAAGTAATACTTGGAAAAGAACAGGTAGCAGGCCTGTAGGATATTTGGGACGAATAACCTTAAGTTGGGAACAATGTTAAATGTACACCAATTGCTAGGAACGAGTTGCTAAACTAGTTACAGCGAAGGCAAGATTCTTGGTAAGCAGTTCATTGCACTGTTATGCAACAATAGAGAAGGCTGTGTTTTCTGTAGATTCGGTCGACGCGCCAATAGACTGGTTGGATAGCAATCACGTGATATGTGTTTACTATAGGTCCGTATCTGTGCCGAAGTTTTATATGGGATAGTGAAGCTCGTTTGCAGTTAGTCGTAGCTGACAGACTGAGCCAAGGACACGAAGCCGTTATGGAAAGGAGTTGTTAGGATTCAGCTGTGAAGTATTAATCAACGTTGAAGACTTTATGTGTACTGTAGTACTGTGATATCTGGAGTGTGATATTGCTAGTTCCTGTGTTTAACTGCATTACCAGGAGAGGACTACTGTATGTGTGTAACAGTAAATTATAAAGTGTAAATCAGCAAAAGCACTACCGATTTTAATTAAGATAACATGTAACCGAAGTGCCAAGGAATCCAGTCCAACTAGAACCCGTTATTATCGTCACGTGTACTACCCTACACGTGAAAATAATTATTTGGTTAAAATCTGTCTTTCAACAAGGCCATGACAGCAACATTTAAACTAATTATCTACTCATAATCTGTTATTGCCTTCTCATCTCGATCAACGGCACACATCCACAGCAATTGATACAGCGTCATTTGCAAGAGAATCAATCGCACAAAGTGCTTGTTTCTATCAATTGTACTGACTTTGAGAGTTCACGTATGAACTATTTACACATTAAATTTTCCTTTACTTAGTATAAATTAGTGCAAAACAAGGAACTGCCAGTATCTAACACGATTAAGCTTTTAAACACAGCCGTATGAAATGTGAAGTCAGTCGGGTTTTAATGTGAACAGATGTTTAGGCCTGTACTTAGCTATAAATAAATATTTCTAAATCACTCTGAAATCCACAGCTACATTAAAGTAAGCTTACATTGAAAGTAACGACATTACTAATGGCAGGAACAACAATAGAAATAGGCTAATAATAACTGCATCAACTATAGGAGGATAGCATATAGATTTAGTGCATTTAAGGTGGGCAACTTTGATAAAAGTATGCAATGTGATGATTCTGGAATCGTACATACCGAATGGTTAGTTCGTTTAAGAAGATGTCCATTTTTTCCAGTGAACAGAAATAAATATCTGTTAATATTTTTGAGTTATATATATATATATAACGCCATTTTTTCCAGCGAACAGAAATAAATATCTGTTAATATTTTTGAGTTATATAGATATATATATATATATACACGGTGTCCCAAGAAGAATATGCCACACTGTGGGAGAATGTTCCTTATGTTAAAGTATGTGGATATAACCCAAAACTCCTATGTCCAAACTTGAACGGTTACGGAGATAAGTGTGGTTTTCTGGTGGGTCCACGCACTGTTCCTGTCACCTGACATGTCTTATCGATGTGTGATTTTCAGTGTGGTGATGACGGCTCACACTAGCCGCATACACTCGCATACCAGAATGCGCAGGCAGCCGTGTTACGTTAGTGTTTGCCATTCCTGTGTCATATATAGGGCTTGGAACCCTAACGACAACTATGACAAGGTGTGCGAGTTTTTTTTGCAGTTCAATTTAATGGCTTCATGTCACTAACAAGTTAGTTTGTTACCTACATTATTAATATTACAGAAACCACATATTCCTTCCAGTTTTTATATGTATCAACAAATGTGTAACAGCTATCAAAGTTTCACAATTCTCTGGCAATTATCTCCGTAACCGTTCAACTTTGGACATAGGTGTTTTTGGTTATATTGGCATACTTTAACATAAGGATCACCCTCCCGAAGTATGGCACATTCTCCCTGGGACACCCTGTATATAATTTGACCCATTGCCTAGAGACAGTGATGCTTAATAAGTAAAGAATCAGTTGTTAACAAACTTACCACGAAGTAAAAATAGCAGCCTGTTACAATGATGCTTGTTGTAACAATACATGCTCACTCCGGCTGGAACACAAACGAGTACAAGAGATATATAAGAATTAATTCTATTGGGAACTCATCTACCGATCAAGTGACTAAGTTTCTGAAAGATACCTTTCTAAATATATGGAAATTTATTATGTTACAAATCCCTTCGAGGAAATTTGAATGAATCTCTCTCTCAGAAAACATTTCAGTACATCATTTAGCCAAAATTGTTATTGCTTTGTAGTGCGCTACTTAGAGGCTAGCTAGAGGTTATGCATAAATTATTGCTTTTCTGAAACTAACCTTTAATCCTCCATTGACATAGAGGAAACTCCATGTTATCAAACCTGAAAAATAATAAATAAAACGACATGAGAATGTTACACAGATGCACATTTACACTCCAAATATCTCACTTGTTACAGTAAAGCCAGTTTCTTCTCTTTAAAAGAGAAGGGCAAGCCCAGGTAATTTCACAGCATGGCAACCCCGCAAAACCCACAGCGTTATTTCACTGCCTGTTTAGATGAGTGCAATCAGCTGTAGGCAGCTGAAGAAATTCTCTGACATTTGTGGAAAATGAAGATCTGTTACCACTGAATGTGAGGTTCTGACAGCAGTGACTACTCATACAAATAATACAGTTTTCTAAGGAGTATCACTGTGTGATCTGGAAAAAGCTGACGCTTCAGAGGAACACACCACCATTTCTGCAGCTTAAGAGCTTGAGCAAGAAAACCACAAGCAACAGGCAGTTCTGCTTGCTGCCTACTTTGTGATGTTTCTTTTTTGGCTTAATCTTTGAACTCTGAAGATGGAGGCGACATGTTCCTCTGAAATGTGAGGCTTTTTCAGAACTATACAGCTTTAAAATCTACAAGACCATATGCTTAACTTATTACGATGTATCAAAAGAGTCAGTCAACTTTTCCTGAGCCAGTTCAATATAGTCCACACATCAATTTCAAAGGATCAGTTATCTCAAAATAAATTATGAATCAGAACAGGCCAGAGGGTCTAACCAGAGATGGTGGAATAAGAAATATAACTGATTTGGGGAGGCTTGATAAGCTGAGCATTTGATTTGCTCTAAAGCCAGTTAAAGAAATAAAATAATCAGACTGCCAGTTGAAAATATCCAAAGCACTATGCATTTTAGGATGAAGCAGGACTTTTCTTTTCCACTCAGTCATATTTGTAATTATTTGAGGGTGGAGAGGAGTTTGCAGGACAAGTTGGCTTAGTGTCTGTGATTGGAGGAATGGTGGGCTCTGTTATCTTTGGAATAATACTAGACAAGACACACAAGTTCAAGTAAGTCAGTCTTAGTTGATAAACACTAACTGCTGTGGGAAGAATTTTGTCACTTTCTCTGATTTCAAATAGCCAGTCTCTGGTATATTATAAATAAAGTTAACATAACATGAAATAATGCTGTAATCCCGTAAGAGAGTGATGGAAATCAGACATATCCCATACTTGGTGGCAGAAAATTAATGTTTTTAATTTTGTTACTTAATCTTTAATTTTGTAATGTTTTAATTATGTTCAAAAATTCCAGCATTATCATTATTAAACGCAGCTTGTAACAGAGTGGCAATTCTTATAATGTTTGATAATGTTAGCTTGTATTGTAAACAGTTTACATCCTAGGGTTAGTAAAAACGGTAGACACTGTGGTACAGAATGTTTTATTCATAAACATGCTTCCAGACTCATTACAGAATACAAGAACATTACCATGAAGAAATTTCTAAACAACAATATTCTAATTAAGTTGATTTACAGTTCACCGAATTATGTACTGATTTCATGTAACTGGGTGTATGGTCTGTCCCTCGTGTATCTTTTGTTTACACATTCAAGAGTTTATTTACTGAAATAACAAACTGCTCTGACAAAGATTAAACAGCATTTTATGTGTCTGTAAGCTCCTCATATCAATACTGATGAATTTCTTTAATTAAAACTTTTATGGTCCAAGGAATAAAACATATTTGTGACCTATGATAAATTAATTTCTCTCACAGGGAAACTACAGTTGCTGTATATGGATTTTCAGCATTGGGCATGTTGGCTTTTACCTTCACTTTAGGACTTGGATCTAAAATTCTTGTTTACATAACATCATCTTTTGTTGGCTATGATGATCAGCTTGAATACTTAACTGAAACTCAAGTTAGGATGCAGGTTAAATCAAATCTTCTTAAAAGTATGAAAGCAACACTGAATTCATATGCATTGCAACTACTGATTCTTAATGGCGACTGCCAAAAATAGGTCATATTTTTCATTTGGATGGCTCATTTTTTTACTGCTTGTTGATAAGACTAATCACTTTTGGACTTCCACTGCAAAATATATATTAATGGTTTCATGTTTTCACTTAGATGTTTTTTGGGTGGCTGTATGTCTGTTGGATTCGAGCTGGGGTTTGAAATTACATATCCTGAACCAGAGGGCACTACTGCAGGAATAGTGATTCTTGGGACACAGATTCTGAGTGTGTTCCATGCCATGGCCTACAGCTGGATGGTTCATGTGACTGGTGACTTCTGGGCTAATACTGTCCTGACCATCACACTTCTTATCGGAACTGGATTGACTGCCATGATCCCTTCAGATTTATGCCGACAAAACGACAAAATGCCTGACAGATAACTACAGCAAAGCAGATGTTTTACATGCATGATAAGTCACTGTAGTACAGAATGCAAATATGCTACGTGTCTGTCCGATGACAGTAGCACGCAAGGAAAATGTGCTACCTGTCTGGCAGATAAATGTAAAAAAGAATAAAATGTGTTATATGTCTGATGGATCAGGGTACACAGGAACTAAGTATATTACATATCTGACATACTACTGTACCAAAGAAGCGATTCTGTTGTAGCAACGAACCAAATGCACTGCGTGCTTGACACATCATATGTATAACATGTTTAACAGATCACTTAAATGACACAAGCCAAATATGCTGCATGGTCAAAACATAACTGTAACACACAAGCCAAATGTTCTACAAGCCTGACAGATTCATGTAAACTTTGTTGTGTCTGGTACAGAAAATAAGGTTACAAATTGATGATACCATATCTACATCTGCCATATTTCATTTCCACAGTTACAGAAAAGATTTCAATTACATTTGATTTTGATGGTCTATACTGAAATGTGGGGACTGCAACTGTGCTCAGTCTAGAAACTGCTGGTGTAATGTAACAGTGAAAATGAACATTCAGGCATTTTTGTGTCTTGTTGATGTTACTGTAAAGCTATTGTATTTTTTGTTGAATACTTTCATTACTCATTCATTCATTTTTATTCTATCCTGCAGATCAGTGTACATTGATATAGGACATGTCCATGTTTATTATTATCGAAATACATTAATGATTATGGTATAAACTTATTAGAAACATAGCTTATGCTACACATCTGCTCGTCAGTAGCCAATATTATAGAATTCTGCATTCAGATAATCTTCCATTGAATAATAGCATCTCTTAATAAGTAAATCATTCAATTCCTTTTTAAAGTGGTTCTTGTTACCTATTTGTTTTATGCTGATGTTAGGCATTTTGTTAGCGGCCTCCCTAGTCTAGAGGTAACATTCCCACCTCATGACTCATGGTACGTGGGTTCAAATACCCGGCGGAGGTCGTCGAATTTTTAAGGGCGGAAAAATTCAGGGAACAAGTCCTCCGGGAGGGACTTTAAGCTGTGTGTCCCGTGTCATAACTTTACGGCACGTAAAAGAACCTCATATCCCCAAAGGGGATCACTGAGCCAAATTCCAGGATGTTTCCCACCCAACAATAGTCTCTAAGGCCTCTGATAGATGGGGGAAGCATTATAGACACCGCTAAGCAAGTGGCCGAACTTGTTTGCTCGGCGGGACTGATGGTACGCACCATTTATCGGTAGGGTATAGAGACTGGTAGAATATCATAGAGGGAAGCACAATAGATCAAACTGGTCGCGGTGCATGGGGAAACCCACCCTCTCTAAATAACTAACTAACTAACTAGGCATTTTGTTGTAGCTACTGATGGTTTACTTCTATAAAGTTCCACATCATTTACTACGTATGACAGTCATTATTTCTTGTGTTATATGTATGTGCTTGTTTATTTACAGCGCAGTTACACTTTTCTTTTGCATATAAGGTTCTTTCTTGAATGTATGGTGAGTATACTGTTAATATGTTCAGTTGTCTAAAGCTAAATCTACATGATTCCAGTTATTTTAACCCTCCTGGATACCTTACAGCCCCTTTTTTTGAGGGTAAATATTCGTCTAGCTAGTGCCTTCGCATTTGGTCCCCATGCATTGATTCCATATGCCAGAAGGGGTAAATCAAACAATAATACACTATTATTCTTACATTCATGTTAAGTACTGACATTATAGACAGTCCATGGCTAATTCTACTACAGTTTCTTTCAATATGTACTTCCCAACCCAGGTTACTGTCAATTATCCCCAAGGAATTTAGTACTGTCCATGTTACCTATTTCTCTATTGTTTATTAGGATCATCAGTTCACTTTCCTGTGTGCATTGTTTCATCTGGAAGAGAATGTAGTGTGTTTTGGTTGGATGTATAGATAAATTACTTGTTTCAAAATATTGCTCTACTAAGCTCTAACCACCCCCAGCACTGCATATGGCATATATAATATGTATCATTTCTGCCTGTTCATATGAAATGATTTGCCTCTGACAAGATTGTGATTACATTTGGTGTCTGCAACAAAAATATAACTGATGTAAGCAAAACATCCCTCGACAAAACCACAGTAATTTATTCAACTCTGATGAAATGTGACATACTTAATGCTCGCTGAAAGTTGTGACACAGACTGGACACTTTGTATAATTGCTCTATTATTGTTGCCATTTCAAAATGTAGACACACTAAGTCCATTGCGAGCTAACATCTGAAGTTGGAATGACATGGAGCAAACAAAGAAATAAGAAGAGTGTTAAGTGCTATGCTTAAATTTCAGTTTATGAGCCCTTAGCAAAACCAAAAGTATCACTCAGTTTTCATAGGATTCATTCCATGAAGCAGAATCTATGAAAAGTTTACAGAGGACCACAGCAAAAACAAAGGTGCATATTTTTTTATGGGCTGGAATGAAATATTACTGTCAAGACTGCTTCATATTCAGGAGGTCCCTGGTTCAGATTTCAGTTTGGAGACCAATTATCTTGCCTGAGAGCTTTCATGTTCCTTCATGGTCTTCCAAGGAGATCCTGGGAAGTACCAGAAATTATGTAAGATTTGAGGTTTTCACGGTGGTGACTATGAAGAAAGCCATCTTCTGGGATGTGGCACTGTGTAGAAATTGTGTTAACCGACGTTTCGGAGGAACGTATCACCTCCATCATCAGGGTGGAAAACAGGAAGAAAACCGCAAGCAAACCGGGAGAGTAGGTGCAACAGACTGAGTCCAGTCGAGTAAACACAGCTGTATAAGAGGAGAGAAGGATTATGGCTACATTGTTAAATAGAAGAGAGGAGGAGGGGAAGGGTCTGGTGGAATAGCCAGCAGGTAGTGGGCCAGAGCTGATATAGAGTAGTGTTAGGGGGAGAGAAGGGAAGGTTAAAAGGAGGGCATTAACCTTGTAGCTCAGGGGCTGTGATGGACCTGAGTGGCCTATTGGGTCTGCAGTATTTCGGAGCTTGCTTGAGGGAACAGACGAGAGGCTTCCATGACTTGCTGAGACAAAACCCCACCTTTCTTTTCATGCTGTCAGGATGGAGTTCAATCTCAGTGGCCTCCCTAATGATGCGATTCATATAACGAGTCTTGTGACGAGGATGAAGGTATTCTGAAGCTGAATGCGGTGTTTTGCAATGTTGGTCACAGTGGTCAACAATTAGTTGTGGACATAAGGCAGTTGATTTATTTTTGTGTGTCTGAATGCTATAAACGTGGAACAGAGGTTTTATAGCTTCATATATCGTACACAAGTGAGTGCTTTATGAAACGTCAGCTGCATTGGCACTAGAAAATTTGGATATTGTGCATTCAGCAGTGGTGTGTTGCTTTCTGCAGCTGGAGACATTTCTTTGGTCAACCACATTCTAGTAAGAACTCAACTCTGAAACATATTAAACATAATGGGGAAGCATGAAGTATGTACCCCTAAATATATTGCGAACAAAATAAAGGCGAAAGGCCTCCAGAAACTTCGTTGCTATTGTCAGATGTGCGAGAAGCAATGCCGTGACGAGAATGGTTTCAGGTGCCATATGATGTCAGAATCACATCAGCAACAACTTCTTCTATTTGCTGCTAATGCAGACAGATACATAGTAACTTTTCGAAAGAATTTGAAAGAGGCTATCTGGAAGTACTGAAACATCAGTTTGGTAGAGAACGTGTTCATGCAAATCGTGTGTACCAGTACTATATCTCTGACCGTCATCATTTGCATATGACTTCTACACAGTGGGATACATTGACGGACTTTGTGAAATGGCTTGGAAGAGAAGGAAAGTGCAAGGTGGATGAGGCTGAAGAAGGATGGTATGTCCAGTATATAGACCGTGACCCAGAAACAATTGCCATGCAAGAAGCTGTTTCCCGCAAGGAGAAGATCGACAGAGACGACCAAGAGATGATGATGATGGCGTTTATTGAAAAGCAAATTGAGAAGGGGAAAGAAAGTTCCAGGAATGACACACGTCTTCACGGAGTTTGTGCGACCAAGCGAGCAACATAAAATTGTTGTAAATTTGAAGCTAGAAATAAAAAGGGATGGGGACATGAAAAATAAAACTTTGGTGGCAGGTAATGCATTGAAGAATGGTTCTTCAGCAGGAAACCAAAAAGACTCAAAAGAATCTGGACAAGGGAGAGGTGAAAAGAGGAAGTTACCAGCCCTTGGTGAGATCTTTAAAGATGAAGAGAACGAGAGAACATATAAACAGAAAGGATTACTGGTTGGTGGAAGGAATTGTTGTGAAGGTGATGGCAAAGTGTCTGGGTGACAAATACCACAGGAAGAAAGGGGTTGTGACTGGAGTGCCAGATAAGTGTGTAGCTACAGTATGCATGTTAGATAGTGGACACAAACTAAAACTAGACCAAGAACATCTTGAAACGGTGATACCAGCAATAGGGCGACCTGTGCGTGTTGTAAATGGTGCTTATCGTGGTTGCAGTGCCATGCTTAGGGAACTGGATCAGAAGAAATTCTGTGTAACCATTGAAATATCCTCAGGCCCTTTGAAGGGCAGAATAGTTGACAGAGTGGAATATGGAGATATCTGTAAATTATATAATGTAGATATGTGAATACGATATAACATTAATGTGACATATTCGCAAGTTTAAAGAAGGTTTGATCCTGTAAGAAATAATAAGAACAAAGCATATAAATTTAACTAGAGTACTCTTTGCAGTGAGATATTAATTCTGTATTTCAGTTAATAAGCCATCATTGTAGCATCTCCAGTGAATTATAATGTGTTACCAATGAGAAGTTTAACTATTGTTCTTCATTTCATATAACTACAACGAATGATATAGGAGCTGTGATTGGGGGTCAGAGTTCAAGTCCCAGTAGGGTGGAGAATTTTCTCCGCATAGACCAGACTGGCTTTGGAGCCTACCCAGCCTTCTGAATGAAGTAATCATTAAATGGGGGTTTCCCTGTATTTATAATTTTGGATCTGATGGCAGTGTGGAATGAAGAAGTGTTCTCCAAAACTGTGGGTAACGAGTCCCACCATAGGTTGATGAAATTACAGATAGACTGAAGACAGGTTAACAACAGCCATGAAAGACAGTGGGCTTCTTGCCTGATATATGTTGGAAATAAGAACAGAGAACAAAATTTTATTTAAAATTTTTTGCTCATAATGCAGTGTTGACAAGTACTAGTTTTGTTATATTCTAGAAATTAATTTATGGAATGAATATTGATGTTGGTTGTGCAAAAGAGCAATATTAAATTTTCGTATTGAAAATTTCACAGAGTTTATATGACACCAAGAATTAATGACTGACTGACTGACCATCAGTCTCAATGTTACTCTGACTTTGACTTGACATATAGCTCAATTTGACTTTGGCTTTGACTGTATGTCTGAATGGAGACCTGGTGTGAGCATTGGAATATCAAAATTAATGAAGATAAGACTCGGGGGATCTACTTCTCTCGCATACATCATCCGCCTGTGCCTCATCTTACATTGAACTGAAGATATATTCCATTTGTAAACTGTGTAAACTATAGCTAATAAGTCAAGAGTCACATTGTGACTAACGGTAGGTCAGTCACTGAGTCAGTAAGTCTTGGTTCCGAGCGTAATCTGGAGCTCATGACAAGATATGTATTACTGTTTGATAGTTACAGTCTTGTTTCTGTGGGACGCCCTCTCTGATGAGA